TAGCTTGAAAAAAGGCTTCTTTTCAGTACGCTTTGCTGGAATCAAATTGAGAGGGCAGGCGTGGTAAATTCCCATCTGAGCCCCATGCAACAAGTATGCATTTCTTGTGCAATTTAATCCTAATTTCTCTCCCCCCCCCTTCCAGGTTAGCAAACATCCTTTGCACTGTCTCTTCTAGATTTAGACGATGTTTCTAAATTGGCCCCAAAAATGCGTTTGGTTGCCAATAAGTGTTTCCCACCTGATGCTTTGTTGGCGCCTTGGCTGGTTTCACGCCTGGCAGTGCGCTGCCAGACTGATGGAAGAGCATCAGATATGGTACTTTTGATTCTGGACCTGCTTTTACTCATCCAGATGCAAGAACAAGAAGTGGTACCTTGGTATCGCAAAGTAACGCATCCAAGAGTTAGTTATGTAAGCAACATCATCTACTAGATGCGCATTCGCGGACAGCCAAAGGAATCTGCGCATTTGTGAATTACACAGGTCGCTTCATCATCGACTGATTTTTGTCGGCGCGATTACCCGCGCTTTGCACATTGTTGACATTCTCTTACTATCAACTTTCCCCTTTATTACAAAAAGGGGAAATGGTTCAAAGAATACCTGTGCACATTATCTTTGTTTAAACTCTGCTACTGTGTTAACTCATGTGTTTCTCTCCCTCGTTTTCAAGACGAAGTGATAACGTGCAAACCAAACAAGGAGGAACGTTGCACAGGGGGTAAAAATAATTCAGGGCACAAGGCGCAAACTCTAAGGTAGACAAACTGTCTGTATTGAATGAAAAAAAATAGCTGTAAATAAGTTTTGATACAAAACCGGCATCCGTGGAATTACGAAATATCTACGCAAATTATATATACTAAAAAGCTCTCATTTTCAAAAGAAGCAGGAAAATTGTACATAAAATATATTATAGGGAAGTTTCGGAGGAACATCAGATTTTAAAATTTCAAACCACCTATTTCTAATGATCTAGAATTTTAAAATACTGATTTCCCTAAAGTGGCATTCCGATGGATCAGAATCTTTTGAAGAGCCTTGGTCGGGTTTCAGAGAAGAAAAGCTTTTATTAGATCCTAAAAAATCAACACACACACACGCGCGCGCACACTTTCTTCCCCCAGCTGAATCGAAACCCAACCAGATCAGAGCAAGCCCCCACCATCTTTTTCTTTCCAATTAGGAGAACGTTGGGATTTTTATTTCTTTAGGCTTTGTCTGGGTTCTTCCCAAATCCACACGTCTGGACTTCAGAAGGTTTCGGTGGTGCGCTGAGGCTTGGCCTTTAGGAGGGGAGCGGGTCTTTTAAACCAGAAAAGTTTCCCTGTTACTTTCTGAACATACGGTGGGGGGCGGGGAGGGTAAGGGGAGACCTTGTGGAAAGGGTGGGAGGTGGCCAAGGCGAAGCCCGAAATACAAAGCCAAAGAAGCCCCCCCCCCAAAGGTCTCTACTCTTGTAAATTTGGCGCCTGCACCCTACACTAAAACCCCTTGAGGCTCGGTGCACAGGACGTAAAAAGGGAAAGTCACTTCTATTTCCTTACGTTAATTCTGGCGCCTCCGGAGACTGTGAGAAGCCCTCAGTCAAGGACTGACTTTCGGGATGGGAAGGAATAGAATCGCCTCCCCCAAAATAAATGAATAAAAATTGAGCGAGCCTTTTGCCTTTCAAGCAACAGGTTGTGTTTTAATCTCCTCTCCGTTTCTTTTCAGCGCTGCTTTCCCTTTCTTTCCCCTCGGTGATTAAGGAGAAAACAAAAGTTCCTAACATGTCCAGAATTGCTTTGCGGCCCAGGAAAATGGAGTGGGAAAGGCAATTCTTCCAAACTGTCCCCGTCACAATCTTCACGACCCCGGCCAGGTTCTAGCTGTCCTCTGGTCAGGGTGTTTCATGGCGTTCCCCCCCCCCCCACCACCACCACAGGCCAGTGCAGACGGAAGTGATTACTTCTTACTTAAATCCAATACTTTACCTATTTGTCTCGTAGTTAAACGTTTCCCTCACTTTCTTAACGGGCCACTCTCTCTTAACGCATTCCTTTCCGAGTTTTTCCGTAGTTAGACGGAGACAAATAGCTGAAATTTCTGCAGAATCTAGGCACTCGTCTGCCTGGTCTGGCTTTAAGCGTAGCCTGCTTACTCCGGAGAAGTTCCCGCGGCCTTCCGAGGACGTCGAGTTGGGCGTCGTCGGTAGAAGTGAAACGTGGATCTTCACGGAATGGTCCCCTTCACACCTACTTGGGAGTGGGATAGCGGGACTTCTTCAGCCCTTGTTGGCTAGAGAGTAAAAGGTCGGCCGGCTCAGCAAAATTATAGAGGATTAGAATCAAAGTGTCGCTTCTAACCTGGGCGGGATTCCCTCGAGTTTATTTCAATCCCCCTCAGCGTCCTCTCTGCCTTCATTTGGATCTGTGCCTTCCTCTCTAAAAGTGAATAATCTCAGGCTTTTTTTCCCTCCCTTTTTTGGCGCATTTCACAAGGCCTGCCTCTCTTTCCCTTCTCCACTCTGTCCCCCACCCCACCCCTCGCCTTGTCCACAATTGATCCCAACCACATCCCAACTTCAGGTATGAGAGTGGAGAGTCCATTAGGGTTTTACTGTTCGGCGTCTAAAGGTACCCAGCAAAGCTCCAGAAATCAGCAGCTAATTCTAGATCCATCTAAGGGGGAGGGAAACCGCCTGCCCTCGAAGTGAGTGAGTCCCGCTGATTTCAAGGTGCCAACAGGACAAACGCTGACTGAGCGGTCTAAGCGGGGCGTCCAAATCAACCCACCCAACCAGGATCGCACGGAAGGTTTGTGAGTGTTCCTTTACCACCGTCCTAAGTCTCCGAATAATTTTATTGGCATTTATTTATATTGTAGTCGCTTTGCTTTGATTCCGAAGGGTGAAGGCGAATGGCTGCTGACCCGCAGCCTGAAGAAATGCCTCTGCGTAAAGAACCCCTGGGTAGGATTGCGAAGTTGCAGGCATCTGTACTTTAGGGCTAAATCAAGCAGGCTCAAAGAAAAGGATGCAATTGCGAAGCATCTAATTACGCACGTACGAATCCTAGAAATCGGTCGGATTTCTGAAGGCAATCAGCCCAGGTTTGAGCCAGCCAGGAACGAAATATTGGCTCGACTGGGCCATTCATAAATAAATGGAGCTGGCGGGAGGGGGAAAAAGCGCTTAATTTAGAGTTGTACCCAGGAATTATTTCCATAAAATTGTGTTACTTCTAAAGGATTTGTAAATAAACCGATCTCTCTTGTAACTAGGAATAACCTCCCTGGAGTTATCCCTCTTGCTTGTCCCTAAGTAAAGGGTTTACTTCTGACCAGTCCTAGGGGTCCGTTTATTGTTGTATCAAATCGGAAGAACGCTTATTTACTGATGAGCCTCAACAAAAGGCATTTTTCTGGGCAGTCCACTTTAGAGACTACTATGCCGGCCGCATGGGAAGCGTACCTATGTTTGCAGCCCCATTGCCTGATAATTCGCTCGCAGGTAAAACCCCCTCGGGGATGGCCCTTACTCTCAGGAAAGTGTGAGCTTAATAGCTCTCCGAGAGAGGCGGCAGAAAGCGAGCAAGCAGCGAGGGAGAGATTGATGGTTTGTGGTTGGGAATGCGCGCGCGCGTGCGTTGGAGGAGGCGGAGGGGGGGGTGAGAGGAAGAGAGGGAAAGGGAGAATGAAATTTCACTTTCTCTTTGGCGCTCACTTTCTCTCCGGCCCTTCAATCTTGCTCTCTCCCTCTTCCCCGCTCCTCTCAGCGCGTGTTGCTGGCTTTGCCATTGGGGGCGGGCGCGCGACAGCAAGCAGCCCTGCCTCCTTTCGCCGTTCTCCGATCGATGCCCCGGCCACTCTCTGATGTTGCGCGAAGGGAAATGCTTTGAATACTTACGACATGGCCGCTCGTATTGATTTGCGAGATTGACAGGAGTGAAGCGGCGCCTTCACTTGTGCGCCTTCTGTGTGTGCGCGCAGGAGGGGGGGGTGGAGGGACGGCGCTCAGGAGCGGGAGGCGGCCAAAGGGGGGTGGGGGGTGGAAAGAGAGAGAACCAAGCCCAACCACAAATAATAATGACTCTTCGATTGTAATTAAATCTCCAGGCAACCCGTCGGCAAACTTAGACCGAAGATCTGATTTTTTTTTTTTTTTGCAACATAACCATGGCCCGGAGAATCATCAGCCGCGGCCCATTGCGCTTGCTTCTTTCGCTAGTATAATAGATTATTTTGCAGTTTATTCACGCTGTCCTAGAGTCAGTTGCGCTTCTCCGGTTTCCTTGCTTCCCGTCACTACAGAATTTTTGTTTTTTAAATAGAAGATTCCAAGCCTTTTTTTTTTTAATCGACATACTGGATCTCGAAGAAGGTAACTTGGCAGGAAACCCAAGCAGCGCTTATTGTATCGTTGTGACCTGTTGTTGACTGAAGTTGCGAGTGCGTGTTTTTGTGAGTGTGTGTGTGGGGGAGAGGCGGCGGGACAGCTTGGCTTTGGTGTAGATCTGTCGACCCTGTTGTAAGAGGGTCTTCCACGTTTCATTGGTGCCGACATATGCGAGAGAATACGGTACTCCTGGCGCTGTCTTTTAAGGGCTGGTTAGTTGCAATTGACCAAAGCAGCCGCCGCGACAACAGCCGCCGCGTCCGGAGGTAGCTTGTGAAGTTAAGAGATTTCTGAATGGTTCCCCGGCACGGTTCCTTACTGCTAGGCTTTCTGGGGAGGGTTGCCGTGGTGGCGGCGATGGGGCTGGGAAGGGGAGCAGCAGACTGGCGGAGAAAGTCCTTGCGCTGCTAATCTGGGGTGAGTTTTCAGAAAAGATCCCAAGTCTGCCTAAAGAGGAGAAATCACAACAATGCTGCTTCGTTTCTCCTCTCTCTTTCTCTCCTCCCTGCCTCTGTCTCTCCACCCCCCTCCCCGGTTCCTTTCCCTTCCGCCCTCCAAGTGGCGTCTATTTTAAAACGTAGTGACAGATCCATGTTGTATTTTAAGATCACCCGCTGCCTGCCTGCGAACACATGGCGCTCGAGAGAGAGAGATTGTGCGTAAGAGAGAGATAGTAGCATAGGCAAGGCGAGGGAACAAGAGAAGAAAAATAAAACCTTAAACGTCAACTTTGGGGAACACAAAGCGGCTGTCATTTCTCCAAGAGGCGCCTGCCTTCGCCCGCAAAACTAGTAGGAATGGGGGAATGAGGAGGTGTGTTAGCGCCTTGAATCCCATCCGCTAACTTTGAGGTGGGTAAACTTCTCAAGAAGTTCGGCGCTAGCGTGCTTTAATATATCTATCTATCGGCCGAGAGATCTTTAAGAAAGGAAGGGAGGGATCGAGGCAATGCTGCCTTTGGCCACAGAGGGGCAGTCTATCGAGGAGTTGCCGCGTCCGTGGCGCCTTATCTCTCTACAGGCAGAGGCTAGGATAAAGTTATACCGAAAACTTTAAAATTGATATCACACCCTAATTTGTGTTCTACAGGGAGGGGGAGAGGAAAAAAAAGACAGAGCTCAAAAACACACCGGGCTCTGCTTACACCATGAGAAGGGGAGCTCTTGGCGGCGTTGTGGGCTCGCCCTACATTCAGCGGGGGAGTTCTCGCTGTGTCTTAGCTCTTGCCGGAGGTCATGCAAATCGACCTTAAAAGAATGCATAAGCCATAAATTAAAATAAACCCCGTAGCCACGGACTGATCCGTAAGTAGGCAACAATACCTAACCTGGACAAAACGGCTTTCCTTGCCAGCTGGAAGAAAAGGATAGCGCCTAAAGTAACCGTAAAGTAAGTTCCCAGGAAGTCTTGTTTTTCTTCACTTTTTCTCTTTTTCTGGGGCTCCGTGATTGTTGTTTTGTGTTTACCTTTCTGTGCAACCTTGGTCGCCCGGAGGCTGCCCGTGGAGCAGGAATTTTAAACGGGCTTGCAGAAAAGGGGGGGGGGTGCGGCAAGGTGTCTCCTCGCCCCCCCCCCTTTCCCCTCAAAAGTGCTGCTTGGAGAAGATCCCGTTTTAGTTAAGTGTTTGTAAGAACTCCCGATAGGAAGATAGTTGAGATGTTTTGTGTAGTTCTGCCGGTTCTCAACCAACCACACTTGCATGCCGTTCTTCGGGGACTTGTCTGCCGAGTTTAAACCGGTGGATGTGCGTAGTTTGAATCGCGCCCCCCGCCCCGCATTTTTCTAGGGGGGGGGGCAAAGAAAGAACAACACATGAACGCGCCCGTGAATTTAAAATTCTTTGCCGAAGTAGGGAAAGCAAAGCTGTTCTAAGGCGGGGTAAACTAAGATTAAGGGTGCGCGTTTGTCTGCGAGCGGAGCGTGGGATTGAAGGCGGTCGGTCCGCTCTGGCACTGCACACACAGGGCGCCCCCGCGGCTTGCACGTGAATAATTTAAGCCGCTTTCGATGGCGCGGAGCTCCCCAGCGCTTCGGCGTCCCCGTGGCCGTTCCGGGGCCTCCGCTCCGCCTCGCCACCGCACCCGCTGGCTGGAGGCACACCCGCCTGAGCCAAACAGGCCCGTGGGCTCAATCGGAGGCACCGGAGGTCTCGATTTGATTCATCGCCGCTCGCCTTTGCACGGTTTCCTGGGTGTTTTTTAAGGACGGCGAGAGGAGAGGGGCAAATGTCGAAAAGACAACGGAGCGTTGTTGTGTCTGGGTGTCAGGGAGATCCTGCCCGGGCTTGGGAGCCTGCGGGTAGGAGATTAGTTGTAGCCTCCAGGGTGTTTCCCCCAAAACACAGACACGGAAACTTTCTGAGATAAACAAGCTTCTTTCGGCCTGTTGTTATGCAGATTAGGAAAACGTTTTGCGTGTGGGTTTCTTTTTAATAGCCCACTGACGTAGGATAGGCAAGTTTGGACCTAATTTTAAGGGTGGGGGGAGGGAGAAGGAAAAGAGATTTATTTAAAAACACTGCGAACTTTCACTGTGGTTTTGCCTGAAAAGAATGGGACCTCAGGACAAAACAGAATATTTTATATTTTGCTAAATCATAAAGAACGAGTAGACGAGGGAGGAGAAAAAAGGTAACAACCACACAAACACAAACACACACACATACCAAATATACACACATACATATATGCATACAATCATACACACACTTTACAACTAGACTGCACTAGTACTGAAACCTTTGCATGTTCACCCATTTTAACATGGACACTGAATAGGATGTACAACTCAAACCTGTCATTCTAAAGGTATGGATGGGTTAGGCAGGAATTTGTGTGTGCGTATCTTTGCGTTTTGAATGTGCACCTCTCCTTGGATCTGTATCTTAATCTTCCTTAAAAATAAATTTGAGTTGCCTCCCCCCTCCTCGCTTCAAATGTATTTTTAGGGAGGTACAGATACCAAGGAAAATAATTACGTTACTTGGATTTCGTTGGCAGCTCAGAGTAGCTTGACACCTGGCAGAGAACTTCTGATGCGTTTTCTTTAAACTCTGCCTCCTTCTCCTTAACTGTGTTTCTTATAATACATTCTTGTGTTAAGTGAGAAAGACTATTTGTAAAACAATCTCTTGGCTAGTTCCAGTGTTGGATGAAGCTGATCCTGTAATGGCATTTTGTTTTGAACAGTTGCTGTAGTTGAAGTTCCCTCATAAGGTAAGGTGGCACTGGCTTGTAAGGAGGTCCAAATGCCACATTTATAATTAGACTGCCAATTCAGCACATTGTATCCCATTGCTATACAGGGATATATATATTGCTGTGCCTGGCCTTTCTCTCAATAGCCTGTATTGAGAAATCAGTCAATTCAACTACCTCGATTTTGGAATCGAATTTAGAATGGGAGAAGGGAAGGGACTTACTTTCTTTCTTTCTTTCTTTCTTTCTTTCTTTCTTTCTTTCTTTCTTTCTTTCTTTCTTTCTTTCTTTCTCTCTCTCTCTCTCTCTCTCTCTCTCTCTCTCTCTCTCTCTCTTTCTTTTTCTTTCGCTCAGCCAAAGAATAGCGGGATCCTAACTGGAATTCATACACCAAATGCAAGTTGGGCAAGAGATTTCCCCCCTCCCCCTTGTGAAGGGGTCTCACAGAAAAACATATATGTAGATTTTAGAGGTGTGTGTGTGTGTGTTTAGGACACCCAGAGAATTGGACAATTACACCTGCGCTTAGATCTGAACCCAGGTCTCTAGAGAAGGTTGTTGGTAGTGGTTGGGGGGGGGGAGTGAACCTTAAGCCCTTTCTTGGGGACGAAGGTTAGCGCCTGCTTGCAGAGAGCAGCAGCCACCGCGACTCTCTCTTGCCACAATAGCAACGCTGCAGGGGAGACCCCCACTGCCTCCTCTCCTTGGGGCGGGAGAGGGGGCGCAGCTGGTTTGACACCCTTCGGCTGAGCGAGGGAGCGGGAGGGAGGGGAGAATGTCGGGGAGGCCAAGGTCATTTGCATTCGCAGGCCTTTCCCTCCAATCGACGACTTTCTAACGCCTCGGGAAGGAAGGAAGAAGCGGAGGGTTAGGGTTAGCTGGAGAACCTTGCGCGCGAGGCGGGAGAGAGAGAAAAAAAAGGCCAGAGGAAAGCGGGGGGGGGGGGAGGGCTCAACTGAGCTGAAGTTCCGCTATATTCTATATAAACTCAGCGGGAGATTTGCAATTTGCACGGAGGCGTACGGGAGGGTGGGGAGAGGAGAAAGGCAGCCTGTGGCTGAAGCAGGCTCCCTGTACAATTGTCTTTCCCATTGAGAAAAGTGCCAGTGCCTATTTGTGTTTGTTGCTGTGTGTGTGTGTTAATGTCGAGAAGCTCCCAACCAAACCCCCCTCCCCACTCAGGAGGTTGAGCGGCCTTTCTGCAAAGTTCGGCGGCAGCCGGAGCAGAGCGCCTAAGCGGGGCGCATCCAGCAGGGAAGAGAGCACGCGCCGTTGCGCCGCCTTCCCGCCAGCGTCCGCTGAGCGCGAGCGACGAGACGGCGGCCGAAAAGAGTTGCTGCTCCATAGCGGGGTCGGCCGCGCGTGATCCTCCTCTCGCGCTCATCGCGCCAAAACTGGCTTGGCCGCCAATGGGGTGGTTGCCTCCTTGCCCGGCTCTTTTGTATACTTGCCACAACTCGTTTACGCAGCGCTAGTCCCAGGAAGCTTATAACGCCACCACCCTGACGTAAAGGGGTGACTGGTAAATAGTAGCTGGTCTGCACATAGCAAGGAAATGGCATCTCCACACGTTTCTCCTGAGTTTGTAGATGAATCACAGCGATGTTGCAGGTGTGGTGTGGTGGTGGTATTGTAACTGGGATCATCCATACTGATGTCAGTTCAATAATCTCTCATTCCCCCCCCCCCCAAAAAAAAAATTGGAGAATTATCAGCTATACAGGCCATACTATTCTAGAAGAGTATTGTTTTTTGCTTCTTCTGTTGTGGATTTGTAAGCTGGTTGAAGTACTTTCTTTTGAATGCCCAGCTATAAATGCTCCATGTGTTTTCTCAACCCCATCCCTCTCCCCTCTTGCTTATCTTGACACCATCATTTCATGTGGCACTTAAATGTACTTCAATATCTACAGATTAGCCTGTTAAGTAAAGGGAAAGAGTGTTTCCGCCAGATATTTGTGATGCAGCTAGCCTTGCAATTGGGGTCCTGTGGCAGAGAGATTTTAGGTGGAGTAATGAACTTTGGTCAGAAGTCACTCTCCAAAGCCTGCCTGTTTTTAAGGTTCAGGTAGATTCCAACTCATTTTAGTGATTGCTGGGTGTGTGCATGGTCCAATCTATTCCTCCTTAAAATAAGAGCAAGCATTTTTTAAACACACACACACACACACACACACGCACGCACACACGGGGGGGGGGGAAGAGAATTGCAGTACTTCATGCTGAGCTATTCACCTGAGGCAAAACATATATCTTTTTGGTTCAGACTTGCATACCTTCTATCCTAGTTCTGTTTTTTGACCATGTCTGAGAGGTTAAGGGCCAAGCTGTTCCTGGAAAGAAAAATACATAAATAAGTACATTTTGTTTCATCTTTGTGATGGGGGAGCCTATTAAAAAGATGAAGACCATGTTTCGTAACAAAATAAATGTTTTGTTTTCGGCGAACACCAAAATGCTTTTTCAGTCATAACCTTATTCAGGTTCAGGAGTGCATTTATTACCTTAAGAAATACCCATTAGCCTTTTCAAAAATGCTGTTAGACTTCTAAAACATATATGGTGAAAAACTGAAAAATGACAAGCTTCTTATATATGTAGTGTGTCTATGTAATGAGAAGCAATGTGTTGTTTAAATATTTTATCACTGTCTACATTATACATTCGTATTGTGTTTCTGTCATGAATATAATGTGCTTGGACCGTACTTTATATGCGCGTTAGTATATATAGCCACTTGTGTGCGTGCAAACATATATGCAAAACATTGCTCCATGGTAAATTTTTAATTTCCTGCTTTCTTATTAAATTGGAAAATTGTAAAAGTAAAATTTGATTAAATGTACCTATCACTTTTGTAAATATGCTGGGATTGGAATTAAGTTACAAAAACAGAATTTTCAGAATGGCACTGGGATATTAAGGTGTTTTCTCCAATGTGGTAATTTGAGTGTAATTTATTGGAAGATTAGCAATCATTAAAACATTTGCAAACTCCCATTTTTCAGACAATGTTTGGATCCTAAAAATGTTTCTTCCTTTCTCACTTTTTATAGTATTGCAACAGGTTGCAACCAAAGAATACGGGTTCTTTACCATACCTTAAACTTAAACACACAGCACAAAATATATAGGTGTTTCTCATTGTATTCTTATTAACTGGTGAAAAAGATTTCCTTTTTTTAAAGGTCT